TTAGAAATAGAATTAGGTAGAAGAACAAAGCCCAAAATAGAATTAGAAAATAGACACTGTAATAAATGTAACACTAAAGCACTAGGAGATGAAAAACATTTCCTGCTATTTTGTACTGGCTATATAGAACAAAGAAAAAAACTGTTTGATGAGTGTGCAATAAATATTTACACAATGGATGTGAATTCCATATTTAAAAAGATTATGGAGAATAATATAGCTTTAGCAAAATACTTAAAGAGAACAATTTTTAAAACCACAGAAAGTAATTAATTTATTTTTTTCTTTTATTTTGCTAACATTTTATTTTTATCTCTTATGTATTGTATGTATTTACAAATGTATGTTCCTTACCATACAAAAACCCTCTGAAGGTTTTTTAGTAGTGTAATAAAGTTATTATTATTAGTTATTATTATAATGCTAGACATTGCCTTTAATTTTTTTCTTGGCGTAGCCTGAACACAACTTATAAATATATACGTAAAATTGTTCTCTAATTCATTTCTTGCAAGTGTGTAAGTGGAAATATTATTATTAATTATGTTTAATACTCGAAATACAATTTTGAAACACATATAGATGTGATTCATCATGGCTACCACAGCGTCAACCAGGCGCGTCACTCTCGCCATGGAGGTAAAATGAGATCCTGCCAAACTTTCTATCTAGGTCGATGGGGGCATGCAAACTTGCTTAGTTTTTTTTTTCAGCGACAGTCAGGTGAATACTACCCCAGACCATTCGTCCTGGTGTTATCGCTATCGCCACACGAGACTCCAGCTTGTCTCCTATACAATTTGACTGCGCACATCCAGAAAGTAGATGTAGCTGTGATTGGTGGAATACTAATGAGTTGAGTGTCAATCAAACGCCCACGCTATCTTTAGTAAACAAAGTCACGTGACACGCGCCATTTTAGTTTTGATTAGTTCATCGGATCGGAGTGTCGGTGCTCGCCATCCATAAATCAAATCAAAATGATTTCTAAGGAAATTGTCGCGTCAGCAGTGGACAGTGTCTTAAAACACATCGATGTTATGGAACGTCGTTTTGAACTCGAACGTGGTCGGGCAGGCGATTTCAAGGCAGCA